ATATGGACTGGTTCAAAAATATATTGAATTTATATTAGTGAACTGGTGAACTATTGATGTAGAGATTATGCCAAGTATAGAATGGCACAAGGATTTTCATGTTATCAGCATGATTAAATCGTGAGATTGTGCAAATAATCTGTGTAAAATCTCTTAGAGATATCCTCAGTAGCTACATTTTAAGGTAAAATGACTATGGTAAAGCTATTCAAGGCAAAAAAGCAATGGATCTGTCAACCTCGTTGTCAACAGTAAATTTAGCTAAGTTTATGATCCATTTATTGCCGTATTTTAGCTGAGAATTCATTTAAGACAATGCAATACGATAGACTTACCTTTGAATTTATCATATATTCTTTTAAAATGGTCACCAAAGCTCTAAAACTCGATTGGTATCGTTTTAACTTTCTCACTCCTTAATGTTTAGACGTAAATTTGTCAAATTACACTTGTTTAGGGCACTGGAAACGAGACACGGCCAAGATGCGCGAGGCGACATGCGCGGGGACATCAACATCAAAGATTCCGACATCGAGTGAGACTTCTGGTCTTATTATTTATTTTGTGCTTCAGCTGTCAGCCGCTAAAAATGTCGATAATTGTTCGGGTAGGTCGTGTAGGTATGTTTGTTTGTGGTGTTGTTCTTGTCTATAAGCGCGATATAATTTTAAAAAAAACGCTAAAAAAATCAACAATTTTATCTGAAAATTTTTGGAAATGATGGTTGTAGGAAAATAAGTAGAAGTGATAACAATTTAGAATAAAATAATAAATTTACGTGGTGTTTCCACAAACAAAAACAATTATATTTTATCGCCATGCAAACATTCAAAGAACTTAATTTAGAATAAGTTATCACATATAATTTAGAGACTAAGGGGCTGATTACATGGACCGAGCCAGCCCGGTTAACCGGGCTGAACACGAAAATCTTCCTTGGGCCGCAAAATGAGTTTTGAGTCGGGTTTAGGATGCTATTGCATCCATACTAAACCAACTATTTATCGCAAATTAATTTTACGCAAGTTTTAAAACCACAGTAAGGTCCTAAACAAACGAGTCAGCACGGTTAACCGGGCCAGCCCGGCACCATGTAATCAGCCCCTAAAAGGCACTTGAATTATCGCACAGAAACAGTATCACAAACTTTTATCACATTAGAGAAAACATATACACTACTTATGCAAATTAAATCTTCATGGCAATTAATGCAAATAGAAAGTAATCGAGTCGATCATTTTGGCATATGTAATTATGCTATTCATTATCTTTTATTGGAAACTATTTGCAATGCAATAAGATAACTAGTATGAAGCCCAATTTTTCTTTTAATTCACAGTAATTTAAAAACTTTTTGAATGCGTTAAACACTAGTAAAAATGTTGTTTAAAAAACTGACACAGTCCATCAGGGCCGCCCAGAGGTTGGCGGGTGCCCGGGGCAAATTTTTTTAGGGGCCCCTATCTAAAAAATTTTTCCCGGAAAAAATTTTTTCCGGATAACAACCTCCCCCCCCGTCCCCAAAAAATTTTCGGTCAGTGTACCATTTTAGCGGTAAAAATTTTTTTCCCGAGTACAAAATTTTGCCGGACGAGTACGTTGCAAATGCTTTCGAGGGACTTTATCTCATTTTTTTATGCCAAAATTCGGTACTTAGCCCAAGAAAACAGATATCTTGTCCTTTGCGCGGAAATATTTAACACACAAAAAAGCCTGGGGCCCTACAAAAAATTTTCAGGGGCCCCAAGCAACTCGGGGCCCGGGGCAATTTGCCCCCTTTGCCCCCCCCCCTTCTGGGCGGCCCTGCAGTCCATCACAGATGGGCAAACTGGAAGCCGAAAAAAACTTTTTTACTCACATGGAACACACGCTACGAATATCACGAGTTGGTCCAAGTGACTGACAAATTGACAATTTTGTAATCATTCACAAGCCTTTTGGCGACAAGTTTGTAATACGCGAGCTAACACGTCGTTTTGCAAAGATGACATGTAATAAGCTCGACGATAGTCATAGTAAACTTTATTTAAGCACGGAGGCCTGTCATCCAAATTGAAATGATCTTCCCAGGCGCCGTGACATTTGAATTATTTACGATATTTACAAGGAAAAGGAGAAATTAAAGCTATATACACAAATTATTTCTATACTACAGTTTTGAATATTTTCAGCGAAGTGGAATTCCTAATTTCAATTGGTATTGAATAATTTGAATTCCATACTACTGCTCCATTATATTGAAGATTATTTTTCAAAAAAATTGGTGTTTGGTTTAGGGATAACAAAGGTGTAGTCATAACCGAGTACCAGAGACGCAGTCGCTACAAGCTGTTCCCACAATTTGATGCTATTAATTGATTCTATATTCTATGCATCAGTTGCACAGTGTCCCGCCACGAAAATCCCCTCTCGGTTGCTCTCACCTCGCTACGGCGACACTGCCAAAACAGACACGCGGAAATAAAGTCAATCTCAAAACGGTAAATGAAACTGAAAAGTATTCCGAGATTTTTTAAGCGAGTGTTTCTGGGATTTCATTATTTAAGATACATCGGAATCTCCTCACTATACTGCATGCACTTTGAATTTAATGTAACAAATTTAAATCCTATCATTCAGCTTCACGAACTAAACATTACTTTATCAATATATTAATATCTCAAAATCATGCAAATCCGCCTAGCTATAGGAAGCGTTTCAGCAAAACATGACTTGCAGAATTCCACGCTGAAATAAATCGAACTAAATATGGTAATATTTCCGTGTAGTCCAAACCTACTCCCACGGGTCCTCGACATCATCACCTCTCGCTATAAACCATAAGCATCGAATCCAATATTTCCACTTAAAAACGCACAAGTGGTTTGCGCGCTTGTACCGCGGAATGTTCGACAATGTTTTTTTTTGTAGAAAACACAAAACCTTCGCCGTGATTAACATGCGTATATAGACGCCGGTTTTTTGGGAGGATTGCGAGCGGTAAAAATGAGGAAGTCCTTCCTCACGGAAAAGTGGCTGCTACGCTGGCCAGATTACGATATGCAACCGTTATAAATTAGTTATTTTCCGCACGCATTCTTTGAACTCAAAAATGGTAGAAGTTTCCAGAATTTTGAAGTGAAGAAATATTGGGTAGGTTTAAGTGTGGCATGAGTGTTCTATACAATAAGCTATCCGTGCAGGCATTTTTTTATATTGGTATGGTTTTTGTCTGAACTACATGATCACGAATTTAAGATATTAAAAAACTTAACTTTGACACTTCGAGTGAAGACCTTTTGTCAGAAAGTCGCTATATGGTAACCTCCTTAGAAAGGCTATTGGCTTCGTCTGAAACATCAAAGTATCTTTAGTTCTTGTCTAAACGGAACTGTCTCTATCAGTCTATCCGCATTTCACAATTGAGTGTGTCCGTGATTAACTCAGACCACAGAGTATAATAACTCCATGCATCTTCAGATTTTGAAAAATAGTGCGATATAAAAACTTTCAGTTAGTTCGGACCGACAAATCACTGTTTTTTTGCTGTATAATTTTGCTCTATTGTTTCGGAGAGTTTATACTGTTTTATAATATTAGTGAAGATACACTTTTTGTATACTATAATATTTTTGTTCCCACAGGTCTGTAAACTACACCAGGCTTGAAATATCTTCAGGTAGTTCTGACAGAAATCACGGAAGCTTATTGTAGAATACTACCTATACTAGACGGTATAGACCTCTCTCGATATATATGTTTGAGATTGGTATCTCTGAGGATGATTCTGAAAGAGGCGAAATAAATTTGGCGACTTTTTCCCACATTCACAAATACAACTTGCGAGAAAAAATCACTAAGTCGACTCAAGCAAAATTTTGAAAACCAATATATATCAAGATTTCAGGAATCTCCTTCATATAGAAATGTCACACGTCTGTCGGACCCATTTTTGGTAATCTACGAAGAATACCACTTGGTCCAATCTTGTAGTTTGTCAGTCACACCATAGAAACACAAACTCATTTTCTTAAAAAAAGATCGCTGCAACGCCCTCACTTCAAATCTAGAAAGGAAAAGCATAAACGAAACTAATACTTATATAGGCAATTACATTATCATATTCGCATATATCTAAGAGGCCGTTTGCCCGGGTAGGTATAAATTTATAATAAGCATTAGCTTCCGTCTACCTGAAAAAGATATCTCAAACGTAACAAACTCCTCCCCCAAAAAAACCGTCTGCTAGGGGGTCCAGTTTATAAGTAGCGTCTCCGATAATAAGCTGTCGTGGTCTGTGTCTGAAAAAGATATCTCAAACATAGCGTCCATGCAATGTAGCTAGTATTCTACAATAAGCTGCCGTGGTTTGTGTCTGAACTACCAGAAGAAGATATCTCAAACGTGGTGATCCAGTGTAGGTAGTATTCTACAATAAGCTGCCGTTGTTTGTATCTGAACTACCTGAAAAAGACATTTCAAACATGGTGATCCAGTGTAAGTAGTATTCTACCTGAAGAAGATATCTCAAACGTGGTGGTCCAGTGTAGGTAGTATTCTACAATGAGCTGCCATGGTTTGTATCTGAACTACCTCAAGAAGATATCTCAACGTGGTGGTCCAGTGTAGGTAGTATTCTATAATAAGCTGCCATACATGGTTTGTGTCTGAACTACCTGAAGAAGATATTTCAAACGTGGTCGTCCAGTGTAGGTAGTATTCTACAGTAAGCTGTCGTGGTTTGTATATTCGATTCAAACACTTGATCCAGTGCAATTTTTTAAGATCAGTGGCATTGTAGCGCATTTGTGTGAAGGATGATTACATAACATTATTGACATGAATATTATTGGGCATTAATTGGCTCACATGGTCAGCGAGACTTAAAAGGCAAGTCTGGTTTGAAAAAAACACAACCTGTTAAGCAATTAAAAAGCTTTTTAGCCACACAGCAGGGCAATTTGATAACCTGCTCTTGCGAAAAGGAAGATAATTTAGCATTTAAAAGCATTTTTAAATACTCTATGTTTAGTTTAATTTGATAGCTGCAATTTACAACGAAGCATCTAGAATTATGAAATGAAAATAATGTACAACGAGGTCAGGGCTAGAAAAACAACTATATCGAGTATAATTAACATGATTCATTGACTATTTCTTTAATAACATATAGTGCAGTCTGTGCACAGTTCTTTAAGACCATATTAATGCACAAGTTTTGAGCAAAGTCAAAGAAAAGGCAGTTCCGTCTGATGCGTCGCTGCATGTAGCGATAAACGCGGTACGTTGACGAATCCGTCAAGACGAATTATCTATCGATACATGATTTTGTCCGTGCTTCATGATCGTCTATACTGGCATTATACGAAGTATTACTATTAGGAAAATATCAAGCAGACTGCCATGAGAACAGGACTTGTTCCCAGAACAGTGTTGCCTACATACACAACGCGGCCCCGACAGACGCGATGCCGACGGATATGGTTCGTCTGATAAACTCTACAACAAGCTGCAGCGGCTTGTATCTTCACTGCCCTGGCTAGGATATTTCAAACGTGGTGGCCCCAGTTATCGAGGCTAAATTTTGCTAACACAAATCAAGGCCCGCAAGGGACAAGCAGCATTCTGGTCTTATTACTTATACTATATCCGTCATAAGGAAACTTTGAAAGCATGCAACGGCGGATTTGGGGAAAATTTATCAGCAACTTTCAAATGGCATAACGAATTAAATTAAATGGAAATAGTTTAATATAGCTGAGAAAGGGAAAATTACAGCCTTTTGTAGAACCCTACCTATACTGGACCCCACGTTTGAGATATCTTTTTCAGGTTGTTCAGACACAAACTATATAGGCAGGTTATTGAGAACACTATCTACAATACATGCATGGACAGACCTTTTTCAGGTATAGTTCTGACACGAGCAACGACAGCTTATTGTAGAATACAATACGTGGACTGGAGCATCTATGTAAAAAGATTTAAAAGCTAGGACACTTTCGTTTCATTGTAATTCTTTTATTTGAACGAATATTATAATCTGTGTAATTTTGTGTGCATAAACCTTTAATACATATATACAAGGGTGAAATTTGTTAATAAATAGATTCAGCTATATATGTAACATGAATATGTCATTTCACATTATATAATCCGACTCCTAGCCATAGGGTAGCTTCGCTGAAATATTTTCTGTCTTATGTCACTGTGACACTATTTGCAAAGCTCTTGTAGAATCGTCGCGGTATTCGGCATGCTTGAACGTTGAAAACAAAACAAGGCATTTGTGGCTTTTGTCAAGACCTGTAAGATACAACCACAAGACAAAACTTCATACATTCTTTTAAAGGAATTTTGTTCAGGTTATAACGCGAATTCTGGAAACATCGTTTCGGCTGAAATTAAGTAAAAAGTAAAATTTTTTGCAATAAGTATAAGATATTGGAAGGTTATGAGGCTTAAAATATCGTATTCTTTAATTTTATCATTTTTCCTATTATGAAACAACTGCTTTTAGAAACTCGAGTATATTGGTATATACACAAAGTCTCTCTTTAATATTATAAACCAGTAATTCAGTAAACTCTAAAACAGCAGAGAAAAATTATAGAGCAAAAAAATACATGCACTAACTAAATTCTTGGTTGATTGATTGATTAAAAAGTTCAAACACAAATCAAAATTTGTCAAATATATCGGAGGAAAAAATATTTAAATTGGAACTAACACTCAATTCGTGATATTCACGATGCTTTCGATATAACTTATTTCCTTGTCGCAAGAACAGCGAAGCTACCCGAGGCTATGTGTCGGCTATACTATACTCAAAAGTGTCGGCTATACTATGCTATAGAAAGTTATTCTCAATTATTCTTGAACTAAATCTTTAGGACTATAGTCTTTGGTGTTAATGTTCACGGTATTTTCTGCGGTTTGAAGTTCTGATTTTTCGGTTTTGGGTTTATTCTGATGGGTTTTCTGATGTTTCCTCAAATGATCACTGCGCATAAATCGCTTTCCACATTCGGCACAAGAGAACCTTTTCTCCCCGGTATGCGTACGCAGATGCCGTTGTAGTTCATCAGAGCGCGTGAAACTTTTACCACAGAACAGCCAATGACACACAAAAGGTCTCTCGCCACTATGCCAGCGTAAATGCGCTTTGAGATGCGAAGTTTTACCGTAGACTTTCCCACAACCGGGGATATGACATATATGTTCTTTGCGTTTGTTCGGAGTGCCCGTATTTGTAGACATTTGACAGTTTGGGCATCGGCAACGTCTGCATCTTCGCGTCCCCGGGACTTGCGTTGAAGCTAAGGCCAATGGCAAGCCTGGAATGGATGTGACACAAGAGGAGACGGGTGTCGTTGCGCAGGACCAACTTGGAATTGTGTTGTGTGGGATATGATGTTGCGTCTTGGGTGGCTCGACGCTCCACCAGGATAAGGTTTTACATTCGGGGTTTCCAAAAGGTAGGCTGGTTATCCCTTGCATTGGGTTAGGCGCACAAGGATGGTTAGAGAAATAGGGTAGGCCGGTTGTACTGCGTTGTGGAGAAGGCAAAGCGAATGTGGGTGCCATCAAAGTCTTACTGTGGTATTCACTAAACGGATTACAATGGCCCTCCGGTGGTGGGGTTAAGGGGAGATTTCTTTCTAGGTAACTGTAATGCGGCGTGACCGTGGCTGTAGGTTGAAGGAATAACTGTTCGCTATAATACGGAGATATCAGTTTACTTCGACAATCCATACTTGGCTGATGTATCGTTGGTGTCTGCCCGATTCTGCTGCAAGTTGCGGCTAACATTGCCAACGGAGACGGTTTCGCGTATTCCTATTAATGATAAAATAAAAGCATATAGTTTAGGCTAAACGTTAAATAAGTGCCTTCTCATGAGTTCGTTTAAGACTGGTAGACTACACACACTTTGAAGTTTATAACAATCTACTTACGCGTGGTATTGGCACAAGATCAGGCCGAGGTAACATGACTGCAGCCATAATTTTTTCCTTCCAATGTGGAGTTTGTGCTTCAATGTTGAGTTTACGTTTTATCGTCTTGCCGCGGCGAGCTTCACAAGTGAAATGACATAAATATTCCTAGGCGCAGCCACTTTCAGCTGTTGCACTACAGACAATCATAATTGTTCAAAGGACGCCGCCATGCAATTAATAAGTGTAGGTGGTGCCTATAGTTGAGTGGTGCTTAGTAAAATATGTTGTTATCGCAAATAAAGGCCTATTATGATATGATGACTTAGGCGGTCGGAAAGGCGGCGAACTAATGACACGCAGCAAATGAGAGGCCATTTTATAATTGGATTCCATACATCAAAGTGCCGCGCGCCGTGCCGACGCGCGCTCATTGGCTGCGAGAGTGTAAACAGGGCACACGCTAAGATTCGCATGTCCATTATGTTCGTCTCGCATTCACCGCCCCGTGCTCAACACTTGTTTGAGGGGGCTGTCAGCAAAGACCAAAAGACACCGCCCATTAGAATAAGAAAGGCCTCTGTCAAATCAGCTTTGTGTTGCTAACAAAAACCAAACAATTATGAGGCTAATGTTGGACATTTTCAGCATCAATATAATGTTCACTATAGAAGGCGTACACTTTCATGTCGCCGACCGTGACCTTAAAAAATTTTACTTAAAAACATCACAATTTATCGCGGTTTTTGAAAGCAATATAAGGGCAACGCTGGCTTTTTTTAAGGCACCGACTACTTCGACAAATATGGGATTACACTGAGGTTTAGCATGTATGTCTGGGTCATGTTTTGGTTTGAAAAATCTGATTATTTTAAAGAGGCCAGAGGGAATAGCCCTGTCTCTGTTAAGCCCGTCAGGGGTACGGCAGGACAACAACAACCAATTAAACTAGCCCGCCTATATTCCTCCCAAATGCTTGACGCACAGACAGTAGTGTCAATCATCGGCACAATAAGAAACGTATGCGAAAATCATCACACCAATTCACTTTGGAACGAGAAATTTTGAGGCAGTCTGTGATACGAGTTATATGGATCGTCTAGAACAATCCCAATGAGATGCGAAGTGTGTAATTATGAAAACATCAAGGCAGACCACAAACAAGCGAACGGCGACATCAAAGGCCTCCATCAATTTCGCCACTTGGGCAATTAACGCGTATTTCATGTATTAACGACTAAGGAATATTGATTAATATATCGTGTCGATGTCTGGCTTGGATCGTTTTGAATATCTGAGGCGAGTTTAGAGCGAAATGGTTTATAAGTTAACGACGGTGAAAGAGCGCTTGTCGTTGGCCGCGTTCAAATGCCGATTTCCCTTCGTTACTGTGATTGTAGCTCGCGCCAAGTGCCGTTGTTAGCCACATAAGAACGCTGGCGCCATCAATTCGCTTCCAGCTAAGATGCTCGGATTGTGCGAATTTAATAATCGCCACTCACACAAAAACCTTTGGAAATTGAACAAAAGTGCCGGCGTTTCGGGCCTTTTAAGCTTAATGGCGATAATATAAGCCAATGGCTTCACAAACAATCGTTGAACAAATCAGGAACACGGCTTCCGAAACGAGGCGGTCCAAAATCTGACATTTTCCTTTTAAATCGACAAGTGAACGCAAGCAAGCACTCGAAAGGCTATTTCATAGTCATGCAACGATTTTCTTTATGCTAATTTCGATCACTCCACGGGCTGAATTTGTCAATTTTATATCGAGTTATACGGAGTATAAGCTGGCTTTGCTAAAATCCATTTCCAAGTCAGTAACTTCATGTAAAGCTATTATATAGGACAGAACGAACAGACTCAGAATGGAAGTTCTGAAACTAGAGATTTGAGGCATATATAATATGAGAGAAAATTCTGTTCTAATTCTGTTTCATCCGACGCAATTATTTATACTATAGTCTATATCAAATCAAAAAATGTGTGAAGACTGCTTGCTTATCATGATTTCATAATCTATGTAGTCAAAACAAGTAATATTCTTCGATATCGCGATAAAGTTGAACTGCTTGAAAAGTAAACTCCCTACAGAATATTTACACAGGTCGTGCAATATAGGAAACTGCCAAACACCTTACGTCAACACGACAGACAAGCAATATTACCGCAATTCGTGCCGCCTTCCGAAATATGTCAGAAAAAGTGTGAAGCAAACATAATTTCATGCCAGATTTTCCTTTTGTAGATACCGTTAAAACAGTTCGCCCAGATGAGTGCGGACAAATATCGAGCGACGATGGGGGATTGTTGAGGGGTGGCTTGCAGGATAACTGCATGTATGTGGGCCATGTGGCCTACTAATGTTGAAGGGAAATTTTAAATTAAATTTCGAGTGTGGATTTTACTAGGCCCGTCGTTTTCGCCCGTCTAGTGCGATTTCCTTCTTCTGACGGATGTTAACGAGTAGATAAGTTATGAATGTTCAGATGAGGGTACATATCCTCAGAACATTCATAGCTCATCCACTCGTTCACATCAATCAGAAGGAGAAATTCGCACTAGAAATCCCGGCAAAAAATTGTAAACGGTCTTTATGCATTAGTCTTGAATTGTCAGCATTAGTGAGATGGTCCAAAATAATCCTCATATGTAGCCTACTATCCCGCAAACATCTGGCGAAAGGGGGGAACACTTGCAGGAAACGACGAATAATAAAAAGCATAGTAAAAAATATGAGATGGTTCAATCACAGGTTCAATTGATCCTGAAAATCTAAACGGGTCGATCAACGGGATGCCCTCTATAGCAGAATTCGATCCATTATAGAGGCCCTAGGATTCTGTGCAACCTCGCAAGCCAGGCGTATTAATTCCCCCGTTCCCGCTCCAAAGTGAATACGCTACTTTGATGAAAATAGTTGATGAAATCTAGACCTAACCAGGAGCGAATAATAGCTTGTCTTGCGAGATTACCTTTCTGACGAAAAACGACTCGACTTCAGAGGGCCTATATTTGCGTTGTGGTTAGGTCTAAATTAATGATTTCACCGACTCAAAATTTCCATCTACTAAAACCCTGAAACACAACTTAGGTCTGAACATAATCTGTTGTCCTGCAAGTCCCTAAACCCCCTCGACGTCTTCCCCTTAACCCTTGGGAATAGAGAGGTTAAGATACCCCGGTTTCGGTGTACGTGTACGGGTAGCATGATTTTGGTTAGCAATATTTTCGTCGATGTCTGTACCTTTACTCGTAATTAAGGTGCACATTTTTCGCATTATATTCATTGTCTATTGCAAGAAAACAGAAAAAGTATGATCGAATTGCAGACATCAGTAAAACAAGATGACACTACTCGTACCCGTACACCGAAACCGGGGTAATATTTTACATCTCTAATATTCCCTCGATCCACGACCTTAGCTGAAGTCTGTGGCTCGCAATGTCAATATAAATCTAAACGCTTTAATAAGATTTCAAACTATGCGGCAATTACTTAGGCAGTCGCAAACCAGAACTTTAATCATACGAAAGGGATTATTAAGGCCATACAGACCGAACGCGAACGCGATTCGATAACGCGACGCAAATTTTCAGTTTTTAAAAACAATTAAAACCGTCAACGGATAAAAATTTTACAAGATATGCAGACCAAATAGCTGAAATTGGTTAATAAGTGCTTCCGAATATTTGAAAAACATAGAAAAATATTAAAGTTAAACGGCGTCATTGAAAATTGAAAATTCGCATCGCGTTGCCAAATCGCGTCCGGTCTGCATGGGCCTAAAAGCAAATATTAAATAGCGCGGTCGATTGTCAAATTCGCAAGCAAGAGGGAACTATAGCATTATTATTTATCACTTTCCGACGAAGCAAGACTCGAAGCAAGATGATTATGAAGGATCGTAAAGGGGGATCACTCGCATTTGTCCAGCCAAAATTTTGTCTGACTCGCTGACTATTAAATTCGTCCAGCAAAATCGCTAATACAAATGGTTTGCAGAGATTTGCCTATTTTTTTTCACTGGAAAATCCATGCAAACGCATTTAACCCTTTGAAGGCGGTCTTAGCCGTCTACGGGCATATTTTTCAGCCAATCAAACATAATCATTACTGCTTTATATTTAATCACAGCCAATGATATTTCCGGGCAATCTTCAGTTGGGGGAAATAATAAAATTATTTACTTGTAGTATAAACGAGCTTCTATTTTAGGTAGCGCTGACCACAGGCGGCCCAGACGTGTATTAGTGTATAGTAAATATATCATTATAGAATATACTACACAGTAAAATTTGTAATGAATTTTATATTTTAAAATCATATTTACTTGCCTACTTTGATTGTATGTGATCGTCTTTTATTTCTGAGCGACTTTACATTCGATGCCTGCGACTGTCTTCATGGGTGATAGTATTGAAAGCAAAGGCTAACGATTCCAGTTCTCAAACAGCCGACACGAACAATTCAAATCGAAAAATAACCCCTTCAAATTGCTTTTTTCGCGGTAAAACTTCGCCAGCGTATAGAATAAACACCCATCTTCGAACATACAATGCAATATTAACACGTCCTGTAATTTTTGCAATGGATTTTTAGCGAAATGTTTCGAGGCTAAAATTCTATGGAACTTAGAAAGCCCGATAATTACTACGGCGCCTGCTTGGCCACCTAGCCTCCTTTACCGTTTGGATTTTCAGGGGGGGGTATCGAATAAAAAACACCTATTTCCGGCAACAGCCAGCCAATCAACGCCGCGATGCCAACTGTTTACAATATTTGAAATCTGATATTGTAATTTATCAACAACAAAACTCTTTCGATCGTATACAGCAACAACAGCAATCAATGCCGCGATAGGGACGGTTTACTATATTTGAAATCTGATATTGTACTTTGCAAAAGCTCTCTTTCTGTCTTATACTATACGATCGATCGATCGAAAGAGTTTTGTTGTTGATAAATTACAATATCAGATTTCAAATATTGTAAACAGTAGGTATCGCGGCGTTGATTGGCTGGCTGTTGCCGGAAATAGGTGTTTTTTTATTCGATCCCCCCCCTGAAAATCCAAACGGTAAAGGAGGCTAGGTGGCCAAGCAGGCGCCGTAGTAATTATCGGGCTTTCTGAGTTCCATATAATTTTAGTCTCAAAACATTTCGCTAAAAATCCGTTGCAAAAATTACAGGACGTGTTAATATTGCATTGTATGTTCGAAGATGGGTGTTTATTCTACACGCTGGCGAAGTTTTACCGCGAAGAAAGCAATTTGAAGGGGATATTTTTCGATTTGAATTGTTCGTGTCGGCTGTTCGAGAACTTTAATCGTTAGCCTTTGCTTTCAATACTATCACCTATGAAGACAGTCGCAGGCATCGAATGTAAAGTCGCTCAGAAATAAAAGACGATCACATACAATCAAAGTAGGCAAGTAAATATGATTTTAAAATATAAAATTCATTACAAATTTTACTGTGTAGTATATGCTATAATGATATATTTACTATACACTAATACACGTCTGGGCCGCCTGTGCGCTGACTAAGATAGGCAGACACTTGTATGGGGGCGGTGATACATGTCATATATGCTAAACTAGACTGTTTTTAGCAACGCTTATGAAAACAATCTGATTTTTTTATCGTTCAGTTTTGGTCTGGTTCAAAATAGCCTTAAATTTAGACAAACACTGGGCTCTTTTTAAATTGAAGTACTATTTTGGGCTCTTATCGACTTGTATTCTATAGCCGTGTACACAAATAACCAGGCATATTTTTCAAGCTTGCCGGGTGTGGATATGCACTCAGAGTAACATCACAAACAACAAAAGATAGCTTTAACGATTTCCAAATGTTGATCGCGATTTTTCGAATTTTGCTAAGATTCTTAGGACTTTCGATACTACCTGAAATTCCATTTCAATTTCATCAGTGAAAATTTTACAAAGACAAAGATTGAAGGGGTTTTTTAAATTGCTGCAATTATTGGTGATTGGTTTAAATTTGAAAAAAAAATATGCTAATAGTAGAAGGCGAATTCAAATCGAAATTATAAGTGGCCATATTCATGACAAGCTACTTCCCACCCCCTATCAATTTAAATCATACACCAAGGTACATATTATATACATCACGGTTATACAGTGACAGTCTACGTGCTGGAGGATATATATGTGTGAAGCATTGGATTATGAGTTCCATAATCCCACTAAAAGCAGTTACATCCTCGGATTAATCTTTGATGATTTAAATATTCGGTAAATGGCCATTAACACCCACAGCTTCCTTTCCAATTTAAGTATGTGGAATGCACGCCCTAAAACTATTCTTAACCCTAATAATCGCCTAACCCCATACGAGTTCAACAATGAAAATAATGAATCATACCATGCTAAAAGCATACATTACATTCTCAGATTAATCTTTGATATATTCAAACGAATGGCTATTCAAATATTGCGGATTCGTGCCCCCAAACTATTCGCAATTAACCCTAAACCCCTTACACCATGATCAAGTAAATACTCCGCTAGTGTTCGATTTATTCGAACGAATTATGGGGGGTTAAATACCCCCCCCCCCCCCCCC